TTGGCTGGCAGTTAATTTGCATATTGCCCTGATTAGCCAATGGGACGGGTAGTGGTAGTATGCCAATTACCATGTTTCTCTTTTATTGGATAGGATATGAGGATTGAATTTTCTTCCAATTTTCTCTCCTCCTTTATTCTCCCAATATAGTTTATATACAATTTAATGTTGGCATCACTATGATTACACAAATATTTCACTGATGGGTTAAGAATTGTATTATGCTTACATTTCCTTTTTGTACAATTTCTGTTTTTTCATAAGTTAAAGATGACCTAATTTATTTCCCTCATTACATAGTTTATTTGAAATTATCTCCAAGTCTTCCTATACCTTCCAACAGTCTTGTAAAATACCTATTGGTATAATTGTTCACATGGTCACATGAGCAAAGATTTCAGATGATCTCTTAGTTTTGTCGTTGTTTGGCTTTATTTGGATTTTGAGGCTTTTTCTCCCTAGAAATGTTGCTCCTGGGACTCTCTGGTCTTCTCCAATCTGAACCATTTGCTTTCTGAACTTACTGCACAGCTGTCATCCTGTAAATTCCTTTCACCTCTCCCCTGGATAAGCTCTATGTTTTGTGATTCTCTTTCTTGGTTTATATCCTTGTTTTGATTGTGCATTCCCATCTGAGTAAGGGTTATTCTACCCTTTGATTTGATTAATAACTTAGGTGAAGATAAAATTCTTGGTTGAAAATAATGTTATTCTACCCTCTGATTTGATTAATAACTTAGGTAAAGATAAAATTCTTGGTTGAAAATAATCAGTTACTCAGAATTTTGAAGGCATCACCTCATTGTCCTCTAGCCTTTAATCTTGCTATTGTGAAGTCAAATACTTTGTATGTGATATATTTTTTCTCTCATTAACTTTTCAGGTTCTTCTCTTTACCCTCAGTGTTCTGGAAACTCATAATGCTCTTTTGTTGGGCTCTAGGTGGGCCCTTTAAATCTGAAAACTCAAGTCCTTCAGAGCTGGGAAAGTATTTTGGATTGATAATTTGCTCCCACCATTTTCTGTTTTCTTTCTGGACATTCCTATTGGTTTGATAATGTATGACTTAGATTGTTCTTCATTATCATATTGTCCACCAAAGTATAAGCTACATAAGCACAGGGAATCTTTGTCAGTTTGTTATTGACATAATATATTCCAAGAGCCTAGAACAGTACCTGACACATAGTAAGCATTCAAGCAATTTTGATGAATGGAAGCTCTCTTTTTGCTCTTCCTACTAGAAGCCTGGGACACAACATTCATGCACTCGGGGTGGGGGGGTTCCTCAGCTCGGCCTGCACCCTCTCACAGTCTGGGACCCCACAGGGTTGTCTGCCTACTGGCTTAGGCTCAATCCCTCTGGAAATCTCTCTTGCAGTCCAGGGCTCTCAAATTCCAGGACCCCTTGCCCCTTACCATCTGCCTGCAGTGGAGGCAGGAGAGGCTTCTGCCACCGCCTCTGGGCTCGCCAGCTGTGAGCCTGGCTTCTGGCTGAGTGGCACTCCCCCTGTGGGAGTGCACTGACTACCAGGGGGCTGCTCCTGCATTGAGTGTCTGCCCCCTGGGGGGTCAGTGATTCAGCCATTTGGTCGATTTGAATATTAGGGTTTTATTATATAGGATGTGTGATTTCCTCAACTTTATTTTCAAGCCTGGTTACTGAAATTTTGGTATTATATTTTAATTTTTCAGGAGCTTTTTGTTCTTTGATTATTCTTTCTTTTATATAATCATGATCTTGTTTTAGTGAGGTAATATCATTTCTTTAAGAATATTATTGTTTTGTAGACATTTTCTTTTGTTGTCTACACTGTCTGTTTTGTTTGTTTCAATCTGTCTTTTCTCTTTTTGTTGGCCTCTTTCAACTGGAAGTTTTCTTTCAAATGACTAGTGACCTCTGGATATCCATTTCTATTTAGAGGTGAAGAACTAAAATGTATATTGGAAGTTGTGCTACATAAAAATGGAGCTTAGTAACTGGTGGACAGACTTATTACCTGAAATTTCTAAGCCTTTTCAGAGTCTTTTAAACTTCTTTATTGTTAGTATTCCTTTCTAACCCTTAACTTTCCTTTTAGCATTTATTTATTTAGCCTTTATCTCTAAACACCATCACCACCAAACTATTCATAAGCCCTACAGACTCAGCAGTTATTGGCTGCCATTCCATTTTATTTCACCCTTTATTTCTCTCTCAGCCAGCTTTTCCTCTTCCTATTTTCCTTCTTTTTCTACCTCAATATTTACTCAGCATCTGCTACCAGGCACTGTGCTTAGTGCTATCGATACAGAAATTAATAAGACATGGTCCCTTCCTTCAAGGCACTCACTAATTAGGGAGGGAGATAGTTGTACAGCCAATGGCATCAATATAATGTCATTCTTGCCATTATACAGGGATGCATCGGTTGCTATGGGAGGCCAGAAGAGGAGCATAGGGAAACCTTCCTGGAAATACGATGTTTGAGGTGAAAAACGTGCTGTATTAGTTTCCTATGGCTGCCATAACAAATTGCCACAAATTGATTACCATAAAACAACATTCATGTATTATTTCCTAGTTCTATAGGGGAGAAATCTGGCTATAGGGTGGCTTGGCTGGTTCCTATGCTTTGAATCTCATAAGGTCAAACCAAGTTATCAGTAGCTGTATTCCCTTCTGGGGCTCTAGAAATAAACTCACTTCCAAGCTCATTCAGGTTCATTGACAAATTTAGTTGCCTGTCAGAGGCCAATTTTTGCTCCCAGAGTCCATCATTCTTTCTACTGATATCCGTATGGCTTACTTCTAGCAACAGTTGGTTTGTTATAGGCACCTCTCACCGACACCAGAGAGGTGTTACCAGACAGCCCCTTGAGTCAATGGGAGAGGGTTGTTCCCAACCTCTACCCTTGTCTTCTCATATAAATGAATTTTTTCGAGAGAACTTGACTGTGTTGTGAAAAGCCAATTTACCAAAACAATTAAAGCATGTACCTTTATTGAAAAAGCAAAGCAAGGAAGCCTATAAATGTAGCTTATAAAGCACAGACGGGCTCTCACTAATCTGAAGTGCAGGTTGGGTGCAGAAGGGCTCTCAGCTATTGTGAAGAGCAAGTTGGGTGGTGGTCTGAGGTGTTGTTATATGCCCTCCTGTCTATAGTTCTTGAAATTCCTTGCTGACTATTTTGGTACAGATTCATTCTCAAGGTCCCCCCGACCCCTTTTTTACTTTGTTGTGGCCTCCCCAGAATTCATGAGAAGCACCTGGCGACTTTATCTTGACAAGCCTTGAGACTGCTGGCTTCCCTCCTTAGGGAATAAAACTGCCTTTTTCTCCTTTCCCCTCCTCCCCTTCCTTTCTGCATTCTCTCATTAGGGAGGTTGTAAACCATTTGCTCTCATGTCCTTGGCTGAGAAAGATAATGGTTTGTTAGTTACAAGCTGGCTGCAAATTGCCCACACTGTTTGGCCTTGTTTTAACTTTCCTATTTCAGTTTCCCTACTCCTCCTATCATGGAATCCTGTAACAAGTTGAATTTCTCTCACACTTCAAACATCTCTTATTTCCCCGTCTGCCACACCTCTCTAACTCCAGCTGGAGAAAGTCCTCTGATTTTAAGGGCTCCTGTGATTAGATCAGTCCAATGGGATAATCCAGGATTATCTTCCCTATCTTGAAGTCCTTAACTTTAATTACACCTGCAAAGATGCTCTTGTTATATAATGTAGCATATTCATAGGATCCAGGAATTAAGACCTGGATAACTTTAGGAGCCATTCTATCTACAATAATTGCATGCAGGAAAAATGGGAGAAAGAGTATTCTGAACAAAAGCCTGAAAAGGTGAGAAAACATTTATTTCAGGAAATCACAAGCAGCTCAATATGACTGCCGCATGCAGCAATTAGGTT